CTCAGCGCCATTTTCGGCAGCGACGGAGGAAAGATCGACTGGTCTAACTTCTCTCCTGAGGCCTTGGGCATGCAACTGAACTACGATGAGATGAGCACGGACGAGCTTGACAAGGTTGTAGACGCGTTTGTGCGTCTTGGGTTGATCTCTCCTGAGGAGAGAGAATCGTTCGGCGCTTCTCTTGTTGACCCCTCGATGCGCAACATGCTTCAGGCAGTTCAGGAAAACTGGAGCGATACCATGGACAAGGTTATGAAGGACCCTGACTACTTAAAGTTCCTCAAGGGATTCCAGAATAACATCGATGAGAATGCATTGGCTACAATTGTGGGGTTGAAGAGTGGTCTTGGTGGCGCTATTAGTGGCCGGGACATTACTGGCAAGCAGGAGGGGGTAGAGGAGGAGCAGTAAATCAACGACGAGAACACCCACCTCATAGGAAGAGGGCGCGCTTCCCACGAAGCGTGTTATTATTGTAATTCTCCATATTATTCGGTTGTTTATGTACATAACCATAATCACGAGCGAGGACCCGTTTTTCTCAGATGTGTTTTGGGGCTGAAGAATTAATGGGGTTTCTTTTATGTAGCGGCTTTCAAGCTGATATATAAAGGAAAGCCTACACGAGCACCTTCGCCTCCCCGATCATAAGACAACAACTTGTCATCTTCTCACGCGACGAGAGGGCTTCCAATTTCAGTTTCAAGGCCAGAAACACTACAGCAAATGTGTCGCCATCACATGTTTTATTCTCATAATCTTTAGGTGGATTAGCAAATAATCATTCGTCTTTAATTCTTCTCTTTTTAAGGCATACTCGCACCAGCATGAACGCCAGACTGTAGAGTGCAGAGAAGTCGCGTCCTTTGGGCGGGACAGATAACTTTAACTGCCGGGGTGCCATTCCTTTCTCCCAGCAGCCTTAGGCTAGAGCACAATAGGTGAATTAGCTATTTTGGATATGCCACGTCGTAGCTGTTAACCAGCCAAGTGCGAGATGTAGAGAGTGAAAACGAATCTGCAGGAAGGGAACCAGCGATGGAGGGAGTGCTTAGAGAGGAAGTCGTTGACAAGTGTCGGCGTAGAGAACACCATCCGTAGACAGAATATGCACAAAGATAGCCAACGACTGAAGGAATATCCAGTGCGGAAACTGGCGGTCGAGGGAATACTCGGGAAACCACCGTTAAAAGGAACCAGTGACACGAATAATATTCAAGAAGGCGCTAATGCGGCAATAGTAGCAATATTCAAAGAGGAAACCACCTGTAAAACGAATATTCAAGAGTAAGCCAGTTGTAAAAGGAATATTCAAGGAGGAAAACAAGAGGAATCGTCGGCGTAGCAACACAAAGGAATGCGCACGGAGAAACCGTAGGTGATGCACTTCAGCTGTCAGTGCGGCTGCATAAAAAGGCCGGGTAACACACAACAAATATATTGTGTATATAGTAATAGTAATATCCAAAGAGGACAGCTAAACAGAGTTCAGGCCTGAAGCATGCGCTGCACGCTGCCGCTGCGAATTCCTTCTACCTATGGGCAAGAAACAATGCAAAGAAGACAGAAAAAACCGAAGTAACCGGAAATATAATGCTGCATGCACTAAAAAGGAAGTGGAAAGAATGGAATCGCAAGAAAAGAATACCTAAGAGAACAAGAGGATGATGAGCAAACAGAAAAAAGATAATATACCCGTTACTATAGAGCAACAGAGCAACGAGAAAAGAAAGAATGAGAGTAGGAAACAGAGAGAATGAGGCTTCAAAAAAAGAATAGGGATAATACCAGTAGAAAGATACACCAACGAAAAAAGATCATATGGGGGGAAATGGCTTTAAAATGAGAATATGCGGATGCTATCTATGAACACAAGCAGTGCATTGCTACAGCCTCAAAACGAAATAAATGAAAAAGAGAATAGGGTCATGAATAAAACGACACAAATTTTAAGCTCACAACGAATGAACGCAGCAACAAGTAATTAAAGACAAAGCAAACAAACTGAATTACACTTTGCTTTCTTACAGTATCATCTCCGCCTCCAAAGAATTTTCCATTAATAAAAACACGAGGCACAGAACGAGCGCCTGTCTTCGTTTTCAGGTAATCTTGAATTGTATCACAAAAAGGATTATCTTCTATTTGCTCCACATGCTGCAAACAAACCGACAAGAAAAAGGCATTCGATGCTCTCCATAAGCTGCATCTGCTGGTGCACATGTACAACAAACAAATTATATATTATCTATCTTCGCTGCATAGTGGAAATAAACACAAAACAAACCACACAAAAGACATCTAGTCCAATACTCCAATCCTTCTGCATGTACTGCAAACAACCAACAAAATCATTGCAAATATAAGCAATTTGGCGCATGCACAGCAAAACACACGACAAAAACATATCTCATATATTCCTGCGAAGTGTTCATTACCAATGGATTGCAAAGCATGAATTCACACATATTTTCATTGGAAATTTCTTCTAACTTTAATGAACATTACAGTAATATTCTGTAACTTGATGCATCAACTGTAAAAAAAAACAATATTGAGCATAAAAATAACACTATCTACTGCACATACTGCCAAACAACGAATAGAAAAACACAAAACATGCGCTTCAAAACAAACAATAGCATCGAATAATCCACATCTGCTACACCTTCTGCAAAACAAACAACAGTAAACGAAGGCATGAAGGCACTTAAAAAAGAAATGCAGGAAAAAACAATCGATGTACACGAGGAATTAGGAATGTGTCTTCTCAGGGTAGTGGAATTCAAGTTTGTGAGAGCTTTAAGTGAATATGGCATCAATTTGATTTCATTTTTATAATTAAATTTATCATTCTAAGCAGTAGACTATTTGAAATATATAATCTTCTCAGTTAATATAAGGCATTCATCGTACTTCCCCTCCTCACACGCCAGGTTAGCGATAAGCAACAACCCAAGTTACTTTTGTGTTGAGGGAGAATTCAAATTCAATTGAAACTCATCTGTTGATTTTATATTTTCCCTCACCATGTCGCTGACGTTGAGACTCGTGAGGGCTGAAATCGCTGCTTTGCAATATGGGCAGTAGCTGCAGGGAGGACAATTTGAGAGCAAACAGAGGGAGAAAAGAAGCAAACGAAAGTCCATTCCCTTCATTCTTTACTGAAAATAAACGAGAAACAATCAAA